GAACATTCTGTACCTCACAAATCTGTTCAAGAGGTTGAGATCAAGGATAGCCCTCCAGACCCCATTCTTAATGGGAACTGTGAAAAAAATAAAACAGATGCCTAGGAACCTTTGAGATGATGGCACAGGTTCGGCAGAAGCGATCTCTATCAGATGTCTGATGGTGCCCCTGTGTGCACTGTCCCTTGATGGGACAGTGAGGAACTCATCAGTGCAGGAATCTGACGTGAGGTGGGGTGATGAATGCCATTGAATAGGCATGGGGCTATGGCTTCCTTTATGGCTGATAAATTCCAGGCTTGGTGGGATTTTTGAAGCAGTCCCCCCACTGGAGCTCACCTGGTGTCACTTTCGTAGTTGGTATTGTTTTTCTCCCGTACTGGAGGCTGGCGCTTGGGCCAGTTTGGTGTAGTGGTTAAGTGCGCGGACTCTAATCTGGGAGAGCCAGGTCTGATTCCCCCACTCCTCCACTTGCACCTGGCTGGAGGACCTTGGGCAAGCCGTAGTTCTGATAAGAGCTGTCCTTGAAATAGAGCAGTTTCTGTCAAGAGCTCTCTCAGCCCCACCTACCTCACAGGGTGTCTGTTGTGGGGAGGGGAAGCCGCTCTGAGACACCTTTGGGTAATGAAGGGCGGGGTATAAATCCAATCTCTTCTTCTCTTCTGACTTGCGGCTCTGAAGTCTGGCTGGGATTCAAGCCATGACTACTGCTTGGAGTCCAATCAAAATCAGGGCGGGGGCAGAAAGCTGCAGGATTTTTAATGTTCTTCATAACAGAGGAGGGAGATCCGCTGGAGAAAAAAGGCAGCGAGAGTTGGCTTGCTCTGCTGAGGGACTTCCTCGCCAAGCAGCTGGCCTTCCTCTTTATCCAAATGTGCACTGCAATCCTCTGACCCTAAGGGAGATCCCTGTCTTCAGATCTGCAGTCTGAGAAATTTGAGTAATTGCTCCTAATGGGGAGAGAGCTTTTACATGCTCCCTTGGCAGGTCAGGAAGTGCCTTTTCCTTTGCCAAAAGGCCCTGAAGTAGCTAGTTTTTTGTTTTTGTTTTTTTAAAGGTGCTTGGCGGGGGGTGGGGTAGATGAATCCAGTCTTAAAGGTGCCACTGGACTCAAACTTTGTTTGGAGACAAATTGTTCTAGCCAGTCCTGAAAACCGGTGGGACAACAAAGGCCACCCCCCTTTGACAGCATTTTGGTGGCTACTGAAGGCTGTGTTGAGGCGGCCCAATGGGCTGTGTGGCGAAACGGGGACCCGCCCTTGGCCCTGGGAGACTGAGGTGCCGTTCTGTGGCTCGCAGGCCCTTGTTTTGGCCTTCCCACCCAGCCTGGTGGGACTATTTCTCTTCTTTACCGCTGCCACCACTCACTGAATTGAGTTACCGCCTTCCTTGAGGGACAGTGAGACCCCCTCTGGCTAAATTCCTCACCTTGGGAAGTGGGTACCTCAATCTTTGGGCGCCCCCTGGAGAGTTGGCAACCCCTCCAATTTGGGCCTGTTTGTGTTCCCTGGCCTCCCTTTGCTCCTGGTAACGTGCAGAGCGGGGAGGACTATGTGATTAAGGCATGACCAGGCTTTTTAAACTCAAAAAAGGAATATTTATTTAACTATATACATATTGGGCACAGAAAATAAACACAGGCACTTCAACACAACCGGGGCACAGAAAATAAACAGGATAAAAATGCAATTCCTCTGTCCCTACCCACACACCCCTCTCTCTACCCCTGTAGTGGGTTGTGGCCTCAGGCCAGGATTTGCTTTCCCCCCTCCTTGTTGCGGAGAGAAACTCCCACCCTCCTCCTCCTCCTCGGGACTGGCCACCAGCACTGCCCCCCTCCTGGCTCTCCACCACGATCAATGGTGGCCTGGACTGCCAACCGAGTCTCTGGTAACAGGAGCCCCACCTGAGTTCTCCCTTGAACCTGCCGTCCACGCTGAAGACCGGGCTGAGACTGACTCTTTTCCCCTCAGGAGCCAAAAAAACCCTTTCTTCTTGGCCTCGCCCCTGGGGTGTGTCCCTCTTTTCCTGCTCTTTTCCTTCAGGGATGCTGGGAAGTGTAGGCAGGGAGGTATGGCAGCTCCACTGTTCCCTATGGAGTACCCCTACACACGTAAGGAACTACCAGGCTGGCAGCCATTTTGTCACAGGCTGGTTGTTCAGTAGAGGGCGCGGTTTTGGTGCCGAAAAGCAAGCCAGCTTCTTTGGTGTTTGAGCTGGACACGGCGTAATCGTTCGCTCTCTCCGGGAGCTCTGCCGCTGCAGGATGGCCAGGCGAAGTGGACTGGAGAGACCTTCTGCTCTACAGCCTGGAGATAATATTCCCCAACTCTCTCATGGTTGGAAGGCTCCGCTGGTGAAAACGTCACCACGACTGAAGCAGAAGGCAAAAGCAGGCATCCTCGAGGATGAGATCAGAACAAACAAGGGATTTCATTTTTAAACAAAGGGAAAGGCGCACAATTAGAAGAGGAAAAGTGCAACCAAAGAGCTCCTAGAAGGAAGTTCTCAGGAGCTCTCTAAATCCACTGCTCTCTCAGGCGGAGACAGGAGCCCAAATGTATCAGAGTGCAGAGTGCAGAGTATGAACGTAGGCCTAACGTTCTGAACACATCCTCATGCCACCTAGCTGCTTTACACAGAGGGCTACAGGGACTGCACACACCCAGCAGCCACCACACGAGAAACGGCTTGCAGCCCAAACTTTCTCCCATAACTGAGTGTCAAAGGGTTGGGCAACCTGACAAGTCTGCCCCCTGTCGCCATGGCACACCCTTTGGTATCGGTGTCTTGCCAGGGCCTCATTTCCCCCTCCCCTCTTACTCCTGGGGGGGGACAGCCGTCTCAGATGAGAGACAAGGGGAGGAGGTTACGTCACACACACACACACCGGCTCTCTGGCCTTCCTTACTCACGCACGCTCTCTGGGACTTCATGGAAGGGCCACACCATCTCCTCCTCGACTGGTATATCTTCCCCTCTTTTATATCCTTCCCCCTTTATTATCACCACCTCGTCCTGGCCCCGCCCCCACTTAAAGCCGTCAACGCTGGGGTGGGGCTCTTCTGACCTCGCCTGGCCCTCCTCTGGCCTCCTCTCCAATCGCTCGAGTTGATCAGCCCGCCCCAGAGCCAGTGCCACCCTGCTCTGCCTTGCCAGGCCGCCTCCCACCAGGTCATGTCCTGTTTGCTGGACACTGCTGTTGCCCGTCAGCCAGCCAGCCGACCATGGAGTTGCTTGATGCCGCTCCGCCTCCACCAGCCGCAGTCCTTTCTTGCTGCCAGGTAGGTGCCGCAGGGCCCCCAGGGGGGTTTGGTGGTCCCAGGGGGGCTCACCACGGGGGGCCCTCCCCTCCCCCTTTTCTGGGGGCAGTCCAGGTGTGCCCTGGACACAGAGGAAGTATGGCAGGACAGAAATATGCAATCCCATATCCCAATTAAGAAAACTATATGGCAAGGTGAAAAATAAATGCATGGACATTTCATTACTGGCTTACTTAGAGTTTATAAGGACTGAGACATTAATCTTCACCTTCACTATGTACCCATGCCATGTGCTATTTCAAATGAAGCTTCAGCCCTAGGACAGATCTTGGATCATAAGCGATTAGGGTGCCTTTTAGTATGCGCAGAGTTCAGCTGTCTCACCACTACACCTCAGCTTTATCCCCCAATACTTCTGTGACGACCCCTTAACTGGGGAGGTCTGGTTTTACTTTAAAAGTGTTCCTTTTTATTTTATTTTACTGGGTATTCCGGCTGCCACCAGGAAATTTAAGGCATTTCAAACCTTTATAATATAATATCTATCACTGGGTAGGTAAGTCGAGGGTTTAAGGTGTTCATGAGGGTCTATATGTTTCCTGAGGAATTATTTCTTCAGAATTGGCGACTTGAATAAAAGTAGATTAAAATAATTTGTAAATAATATAGTAGAACGAGGTAACCAGTACTGTGAATAGTTTTAACACTTGCTTTAAGTCTCACATAAGATCTGCTCCCTTTTCCTAAGGGATCTTTCAAGTAACATTGTAACTCATTAACTCAGGGTCATAAATGTTTCTTGTTTCACTGCAGTCTGTCACTCAGACTGTTATTTAACTTTTGTTTCCTTATACATTCAACGCTTCTTCATACACAGAACTTAATCTCTTCTATCACACACAAGAAGGTCTCTCCTTCAGACCTCAGAACGAACTGCTTTTCCTCTCTAACCCCAGAACAAAACTGAACTTCAACTGTCTTCCTTAACTGTCACCCCTGATAGACATACAAATCCTCCACACAGCATCACTTCCAAAACCCCTCCCCCTCTTTGTCACTCACCAATCACACCACTTGCTTGTTTCCACTACTCTAGACTATCACACAGTCATGCAACCAAACTTTTAAAGACACACACACACAGTTAAACATAAATATGGCTTCAAACAACATTTGAGTCCCAACACAATGAATGTCCTCAGCAAAAGGAACCCAGCTTGCTGAAATGCCTGCTGGCTTTTCAGATACTGTCGAAATGTCTTTAGTGTTCTCAGAATGAGCTCTCTTCCCCTTCTACCTGATGAACTCTTCCACACAAGAATTCACAGCTCCCTAAAGGTTTCTTCTTTCACATTTGAATTGGGGGGAATCGACCGAATGAGGGGTTTTTAACCACGAGGCTGTGATACATTTCAAATATTAAAACTCTACTATTCCATTTTCTAGCTAGTTAACCTCCGCTCACCCCCAAACCACACGGGCAAATGAAACACCTTCAAGTCCAAAAAAACCCAGCTAATCTTTGCATTCTGAACAAATCTTCTCACTTGATACGTGCATTAAGCATTTTAGCTATCAGCATATAGGAGTGGATCAAGTGCCTCCAAGATATTGTCGTCGGAGGCAAGGGGAGGGGGGAGGGATAGACGAGGAAGGTAGAGCAGACTGAAGAAAAGCCTTTGTACTGAGAAAACCACACATCAGCTGAAGAAATGACATGCAAGGCTGCCTTTTTACCTGTTTGTGGGCATGGTCATAGGAATTTATGTGGTTGTCAAACTCTTGATGCTTCTGGTACTGTTTATCACAGAGTTCGCAATAGAAGTTGGCTCGAAGGTCTTCGAGGGCCTTGGCAATGGCTTTTTCTTTGTCCATGTAATCCTGCAGCAGCAAAAAGAACCAAGACCTTCTACAAACTTTTTTTTCTAAGGGGGGGCAGCAAAGACTTTCACGCTTTTTCTTTTCATTGAACCAATGTACGTGTTATTGCCGGTATTTCCTGGTGTTTATATAACTCCAACAGTGGGTTAGGCATTAAACCAAAGTTACTGTGTTGCCAGCTCAGAGGACTTGCCCAAGGGAGAAAGCAAGGGACATGGCACACATATCTGGAACTGGAAACGAGGGCCAGGTACAGAGGAAGCGGATAGCAAGTGAGAAGCAAGCAAGGTACCTCTAGTAGGAAAGGTTCTCCTCAGAAGGCAGAGACTAAGGTAGGATGTGCAGGAAGAAGACCAGCAGGGGAAAAGAGAACAGGAAGCCCAACCAGGCAAAGAAAGAAGTGCACAGACCAAGGGCAATCTGACTTCTAGTGCTATGTGGTCTACTTTTAGTGCAGCTGTTTTGTAAAACTAGGGCCCCGGTCACACGGCAAAGTTGCCGCAGGAGAGGCACGGATGGTGGGTGAATTATCCGGGCACGATCACACCCCAACATCTGGGAAAAGTGGAGCGCACCCGTGGCTTACCACCGACAATGCATGTTAAAAAACTAGTACTTCCAAGGTTCTAGTAAACGTTTGCCACGGGCTGCCTCCAGACGCCCGTGGTGTGATTGCGCCGGCGCGCAGCATTCCCCTCCAGTCCCTCGTTTACCCACCGGAGCCGAGGGAAGGACCCGTGGTGTGCTGCTGGCGCATCTGATCGCGTAATCGTGGATCAAAGTGTGCCAGGGCAATTAGCTACGCCTCCCACCCGCGATATCCGGCCCGTGTGACTGGGGCCTTACATACACATGCCCTAGAATCTCTTCATCCACCAAAGTCAGAAAGACCCTTCCCTGGCAAAAATGGCATGTGGAATAATTATGTGACACCATAAAAACATCACTAGGAGAGAGGAAAGGAAGCACACAGTTAAAAGGACCCCTTGACCTCTATAACTGGAGGACTAAAGGTCACTAGCAGTCTCCATTGCCTCAAACCCAGCAAGGGAACAGCAGCCCACATGTTTGTTTACCCATAAAATTCTCTCCACTCTGTCTTTTTATTGTCAAACTGATCTCTCCTAGTAAGGACAAGACACGTGTGATATTTCCAGTTACGTACAGTGCCTGCCACCAGATTGAAGTGAGATCTTTTTTTTAAAAAAAGTTGAAAAGCAGGATAAAAATACAGTCAAGAAAGACACGAGAGAATGAAAGGCAACCTCTTGTAAAAGGCAGGAATGAAGATGATTATAAACCTGAGGAAGCTAGGTGTCACACTGCATAGCTCACCAGGACAGAATGAGATTGCAGAATGAGATTGCAGTCATGGTGATCATCTTTCATGCCGAAACTGAATCCGGACACGATGCAGGTGATGCCGGCACAGCCAATGGGGAACCAGATTTAGCCCTTCTGGATGACTCAAAAGTTATTCTTGACTGATCAATATTCCTAGATCCACTTTACTGAAGGAATAAGTGGGCTTGGTAGAAAGATCTGTCTTTTATTACATTCATACTGTTTGTAAACGTTTCCTTCTCTTAGATCTTGCCATGCGGATCCATGCATCTGTAGTTTTTCACACAGATAACTGCAACTCATTTTATGTGGGTTTATGTACCTTGAAGCCATCCTTGAAATGGGTGCAAAACATAGATGCTTGGCTAACATGAGCTTTGCACCATAAGTACATAATGCCAATAATAAAGCAAGCTCGCTGGTTATCTATATGTTTCAGAGCTCAATTCCTGGTGCTGGGTCTTAATCTTTAAAGCCCGTCACAGACTATGACAAAAACACCTGAGGGGACTGCCTATCCCTGTAAACATACCTGTTTAATTGAGTTTTTAATAGTAATTAGATTTTTATGGCTTTTATTTTTACTATTGCTGCTGGAACCCAAATTCGAATTGCTGACTACTTGTATTTTTATTGCTATTTTTACTGATATGATTCTCAATTACTATTGTAAGCTTTTTAAATACAAAGACATGGTCTTCATATACATAGTCCATGTCTCATACTTGACCAAATGATTCTGCATAAAAATGTCCAAGGTGAAGAAGACCATTTCACTGTACGGGATTTTTAGTGCTTCCTCTTAACCAACCATTGCATCTCCACAGTGTGGCCCAGTGTAGCTGTTCCAGGTGGTCAGAGGCCTGTTGGGGTCTGCCCTGCAGGAGGAGATGGACTGCTTGGTGGCCCACTGACCATTTTGCTCAGCACACTACAGATGAAATCTCTTGCATCTGTTCCAACGTGGGACTCTACGTTATTGTCAGCAGGGTCAGATGGGGTTAGGGTGCTGACCTGTCAAGTTGTTTGGGATAATTTTCAATTTATTCAACAGGAGTTATGTGGACAGGATCCTTGGAGGTTTGATGCCTACCACCTGCTTGTATGACCCTTGTGCTACTTGGATATTTAAATTGGGGTGTGTGTGTGTGACTGACTAGGTCTAAGAGGTAATCAATGCCTCTTTGAGAGGAGGTGCTGGTTGCCAAAGCTTTGAAATAAGCTGTGGTGTCTCCACTTCTAAAGAAGCCTATCCTGGACCCAGGAGATCTGCCCTTGAAAAGTGTTTGGTGCAGAAAGCTGCAGCCAGGATGCTGACTGAAGTGGGCTGTAGAGACCATATCACTTCAGTCTTGGTCCATCTACTCTGTATCCCAATATTTTTTCTGGGCACAATTCAAGGTGCTGGTGTTGACCTTTAAAGTCTTGCGTGGTTTGGGACCAACATACCTCAAGGACCACTTGCTCTATTATGAACTGATCCAACTACCACGGTCATCTTTTGAGGGTCTTCTTTGAGTCCCCCCGTCTTCTGAGATTAGGTGGGTGGCAACCCAAGAGTGGGCCATTTTGGTTTGGGCACAAAAACTCTGGAACTCTCTCCCCAGAGAGATATATCAGTGCCCTGCTGTTGCCATCTTCTGCCAGCAGGTGAAGTCATTTTTGTTTTGTCTGGCTTTCCATCAGAGATCCCTCCTTCCTCCCCAATGTTTTAATTGCTGCTTTTATGTTTTGTATGCATTTTAGCTGGTTTTAATTGTTTTAATGGTGTGTTTTTGTTGGTTTTAATGGTTTTTAAGGTATGACTTTATTACATATGTTAGTTGCCTTGGCAGTCCTTATGAGGGCAGAAATGTGAGGTACACCTTTATAAAATAAATAAAATAATCAAAAGTGTTTTTGGCTAAACATTTAGGAAGAACTTCCTGACAGTTAGAGCGGTTGCTCAGTGGAACAGGCTTCCTCAGGAGGTGGTGGGTTCTCCTTCTTTGGAGGTTTTCAAACAGAGGCTAGATGGCCACCTGACAGCTATGCTGATTCTGTGAACTGAGGCAGATCATGAGAGGGAGGGGCAGGAAGGGTTGCCTCAGTGCTTAGTTCTCGTGGCCCTGTCTTATACGCCCAGGAAAATGCTGATCGCCACTTTGGGGTCAGGAAGCCATTTTTCTCCAGGCCAGTTTGGCCAGGGATCCTGGAATTCTTTTGTCATCTTCTGGACATGGAGCAGGGGTCACTGGGTGTGTGTAGGGGAGGGGAGGTATTTCTGAATTTCCTGCATTGTGCAGGGGGTTGGACTAGATGACCCTGGATGTCCCTTCCAATGCTATGATTCTATGGTTCTATAATCTACAATGCAGGGAGGGAGTTCATTTGGGTACCTTGTATTTCTGCCTCAGCTCTTCGGTATCTTCCTTCTCCACTTCCAAGACCCTCCTCCGCTCTGTAGCATCTTCAGCATAATCAAGCTAAACAAACAAAGCAAACGAATTGGTCAGTCAGAAAATCTGGGTATTACCCAGCCAGTAAATAAAATGTCACATGCAGCAAGCAATCCTCTAATCTCTTCCAGGCTCAGCTCAGCTCATCACTGGGAACCAAATAATCTGTTCACTTGAATGATGTGGAATTCACAGCAGGGACAACAACCAAGTAAATGCTGAGCTAAGGATTTTATATTGGGGAAACAGAATTCATGAAGCACCTAAGTTCCTAAAGCAGAAGGCAATCTGTGACGCTTATCCCCACCCTCTCTCTATGAATATATAAAGCTGCCTTATGCCTGATCAGGGGACTGGCCCATTGAATCCAATAACATGGGCACTCCATGAAATTGCTGAGTTAGAACAGGTTATAACGGATAAAAGGATGTACTTCTTCACCCAAAGAGTGATTAACACTTGGAATTCACTGCCACAGGAAGTGGTGGCGGCTACAAGCATGGACGGCTTCAAAAGGGAATTAGATAAGCATATGGAGCAGAGGTCCATCAGTGGCTATTAGACACAAGGTATAGATAGGGGCTCTGGGGCAAGGGATGCTCTGTCTTCTTGGTGCTGGGAGGGGTCAAAAGTGGGAGGGCTTCTAATGTCCTGGCCCCACTGGTGGACCTCCTAATGGCACTGGTATTTCTGGCCACCGTGTGACACAGAGTGTTGGATGGGATGGGCCTTTGGCCTGATCCAACATTGGCATCTCTTATGTTCTTATATCTCTTCAGACATTATTGAGGAGGAAAAGGGCTTCTTTGATCCAATTACCTAGAATTCTTAATCAACAATGCCAGGGAATGAACTTGGGATTCCTCCTGCTACCAAGACTGATGGTGTTGAGGCCAGCCGAGAAACCTACATTTTAAGGGGGCTTTTCTAACTCCATCTGTTAATCAGGAATTGCCAAGATCATGACCAATTCCATTGGTCTGCATTTTAAGTAGACAGATCTGCTCATCACACTTCCATGATTTCATCCACCTTGTCTGTCCCCCGGAGCTGTCATTCCTCTATACTAAAAAGCCCTACCCCCATAACACACCAACCTTCTGATTATTGGTTAACTTATGCAGTAATTGTTTTTCCAATGTGTACTCAACACACTCTGCCCCACGTCAGGAGGAAGGATATTTAAAGGGAAAGAAGAGGACGTTGGCTTATGATCCCGCGCTTTGCTGCTCTCCCTGTGAGTACGTGCGTGGCAGGAGGGCCCAGGTGAAGAGCACCCTTTTCAGATATAATTTTAATATTTATTAACCTCCCCCCTTCAGCTGTATTTTTATGTACAATTTAAATATGGCCTGTGGGGTTCAAAAAGCAGGAGCCCAGTTGCACTTAAAGCCTTTTAAGGTGATGCACTGGACTTCTGGTTTGTTTTGCTACAACAATGCTTACATTTGCAAGCCTGCACACCTATTACTGACCTTTCCCCATATGGCTCTGACTAGGATATGTTCTCTTTAGTCAGTTTCAGAGGGCAGCGGTGTTGGTCTGGGGTGGGACAGTCAGATTCGAGTCTGGCGCTGCCTCAGAGACCACCTCAGAGTCTCCGGGTACCAGCTGTCAAGAGCCAAAGATCCCTTTGTCAGACGCAGAAGAACAGAAGTGGAAATCTGAGCCCTTTTAGTCCTACTTCCTTATGCATCTCTTTTATGTATTTCAGCAAACAAGAACTCTGGTCCACAGGACTAACGTGCCCAACTGGGACGTTTTTAAAAGACTGCCACTCAATTTTATTTGCTTACACTGATCTATTTACCGAAGGCCTAAAGCACACATTTTATTATTTATTTATTTATTGTATTGTATTTATACCCCGCCCTCCCTGCGAATGGGCTCATTGAGTTAAAATATATGCACACGAATCTTTTACTGAGACGGAAGAAGGAAAAGTCCGCATTCCCACCGGAAATGTATTCAAGATCCTTCAGAGAACACCCTCCTTGCCGGGCTGTCTATGCAAACCGTGGCGTTCTGCCAGCCCTAACGCACACACATGCCCAACTTCACATGGCACAAAGTATACAACGAAGGACCCACTCACCTCCATTTCCATCCGCCCCATGCCCATGACATCATACTTGACAACGATGGGGATCGGATCTGTTCTACCTACAAGAGAAGCAGACCAACTAGGTGAGTGGGGGAGGGGAGATAGAATCAGCTCCGGCAGGTCGCTCGTACACATTGGGTTGGTTAGAGATCTTGCCTTGAAGTGCAGAGACCAGAAAGCTACAGAGAACCAAACACAAGCCATTCTCACAGCTTACATTAGGTGGCGCATCTTGCAGACCAGACGTGCCTTTAATGCCCTACATCTCTCAGCACAGATACTTTAACAGGTTAACATTGAACTTAAACAGCCTAAGGCAGAAATATAGGGGTTTTTTTAGTTGTAAAAACAGTTTGTCCGAGACCACAGAAGATGGACTTTAGGAGGTAAAATGGAATAATAGGCAACCATGATCCATACGGGTAGACAATCAGAAGCATCGCAATCCTTACAAATGAAAGGATTGAACCCCCATTGAAGCCAGGTTTGCATGTCGTCACAGGAAGCTGGAATTCTCCTCTCCGCAAGGCTAGGTTTTAAGACTTAGCCCTAAAACATGCCTCCTGGACATATTTGCCCTGCTTTTCCCTTGTAAGCTGTGAAAAGGACTAGTTGCAAAGAAAACTGACTTTGAAACTAATCAAACTACGCTGAAGATTCCGTACATATTTTTAATCCACTCATAACCAGCCAAACAAAGCAAAATGGGGCAGACGAGCACTTTGACTACCACAGCCTTTGGGTGTTGTTTATTTTTACATCACAACATGCACTGTGAGTTGTGATGTAAGGCCACTGGGGAAATAAAGGAATTACTTACCTTATCCGATGCATACCTTGAGTGAGAAAACAGAATGTTTACTTCCCTTATTATCGGTTTGAGGGGGAGAGGGTGTCAACATTTTTTTCTCTCTCTGTTATACACACATACACACATATATTATACCCTTGGGCCAAAAGATGTCCAAGCTTGAATCATGCCAAAGTAAAGAGACTGGATTGATTTTTAAAATTGGTTCATGTGGCACATCAGATCATTCCATGTCTCAATATTTTAAAACTCTGTAACACTTTGTAATGAAGAGTGCTGCCCATGTAAGAGGGCACTGATTTGGAGACCTGGGTTTACATCTCTGTCAAGGACTTCACTGGTCTTGCCTCTACTCTCCGTGAAATAGGAGTACATTAAAACCTTCTTCACAAGGTTATTCTGAGGGTCAAAAAAAATTAAAAGGCTGTTCTTTGCCATCAAAATAAAGAAAACCAATTCTAGACACTGGCAGGCATCAACTGAACTTGAGAATAAATTTTAAGATGGCTCCAGATCAGATGAGAATTTGGAAGCCTAAGCCAAAAGATTAAAAGGTCAACAACATTGACTACTTTTCAGATAGCAATGCTTTCTAATGCAAGTTTTACCTAGGTATATACACATTTTCAGTACGAAGGGGGAGGGAGGAAAGAAAGGACCTTATGCCCAATGGTATAAGAAGCAGTGACTGCAGTTTTGAGCAAAAGGACCAAATTCACAATGAAATTTGTAAAAGTAATGCTAATAATTCCCCACCCCTGCCACCGCCAATTTTGAGGTTTGGGTTTTTCAAGAGTTTGCAATGATTGCGTCCAACTTTTTGATTGTGGCAAACTCTGCAATACCACGCATGCATCAGTACTTTTGCTTTCTAAGGCAGTCAAAGTTTTCAGTTTACTATAAAAACTGCAGTAGCGACTGCTAACACCCACCATGTGCTTTTTTATGGGGGAGGGAGAAGGGAGGAGGGGGAATCATGTTTGGACAATATTAGAAATTTGGTATTTGAAGTGATTCTCCACAATTTTTCTGGCAGTTCTAACACAAACATCCCTTCTGAGCATTAAACCCTCAATGAACAAGGATCAGACACGGAAGAGTGCATGAAGAAACAGAAAGGAAAATAAAAGGGAAATGGAAAAGACCAAGCAGAAAGGATGAAGGCTACAACAGAGAAAAGTAAGCCTAACATATTTGGTGCTCTGATGACAAAAAAGGAGTAAATTCAGTCTGAAAATTAAAAATTACCACTAAGTTTACCATCACCACAACAAGTCCCGGATCATTATGCTGTAAAAAAGAAACACCATTTGTTAGAGAAAACTGTCAGGGGCACAAAATAGGCCCTATGTAGCAGGCAGAGGGGGATGGGAGGGGTGGGGGAGGAATGGCACCGGGCTTCTGCTGCACCCCCCCACCCTTGTGTTCAAAATAATGGGCAAGCAACGATGGCTGTTTTTTCACAGACACACAGACTGGCAAGTGAAAAGAGGCTGGTTGGTGGTCCTTGAAGATGAAGCTTGTAAACTTATTCTGCCGAGAAATTCATAAACTGGGGCTGACCTGTGGCTGCGAATGAACTGAGGAGTGAAGAACTGCTCTTGGCATGCAAGTGCTTCCCAGACTCCTGAGAGCAGAGATGCAATTCTCAGTGAGGTAGGGAAGTCACATTTGGGCTGAACCACTTCCAGATGCTTGGGGGGGGGGAGGGATCCTACACACACATGAATTAGCATCTCTGACAGAAGGCTCCGCACTTGCGTCTTCCTGATGCGCTACTTTTCTATGGCCAGAGGATATTCTTTCACTCTACAGAAGAACATTCAATTTATATAAGCCCGCATCTACATTCTGAAGAATATAGTCCAGACTAGGTTTTCCACCTCAGTGGCACATGAACTAGACAAGGTGTCCGGCCACAACTCATGACTGGGGTTGTTATTTGACCCACTGTCAGGTGGCACCAGTGTTCCCTCTAAGCTGAGTCAGTGTGAGCTAGCTCACAGTTCTTTAGCCTCCAGCTCACACGTTTCTCTCTTAGCTCAGGAAGGAGGGCTCCAGAGCAAAGTAATTCATGCGGCAGCCAAATGGCTTGCTCACAGCTTTAGTGCCAGTAGCTCAGAAAGTAGAATTTTTGCTCACAAGACCCCACAGCTTAGAGGGAGCATTGGGTGGCACACGTGCTGAATAAACATCATAAATCCCTGCAATGAGGAAAACAGCTCCTCCCCCAGGGCTGATTTGGCTCTGGAAAATGGCATGGGGAGGGGAGATAAACACCCCTCCCCCCCTGCACTACAGTCCTGAGCTGAACTGGGCCCCAGAGTGCTTGCAAACTTCGTTTTCCTCCAGTAACATTTGGCAGTGACTGGAGTCGAACTGGGAGAACCCAGACCTGACTCAAATGCCTCATTTAATTTGGCTAAAGGAACACTAATTTTCTGAATCCAAGCTGCTTTTGAACCCCGCTCCCCTGACTGGGAGGACGCATACTCAGAACAGTGAGAGCCAGCTTGGTGTAGTGGTTACGTGTGCGGTCTCTAATCTGGGAGAGCCGGGTTTGATTCCCCACTCCTCCACTCGCAGCTGCTGGGTGACCTTGGACAAGCCACAGTTCTGTCAGAGCTGTTTCTGAAAGAGCATTTCTGGAAAGAGCTCTGTCAGCCCCACCGACCTCACAGGGTGTCTGTTGTGGGGAGGGGAAGGGAAGGGAAAGGAGTTTGTAAGCTGCTCTGAGACTCTCTTCTTCTTTATGTGGACAGTCAGCAACTCGTCTCCTCTGGTGTGTCTGCATCAGGGGTGACAGGATCATTCCATCACTCCTGATGTAGAAACAAAGCAGGCCTTCTTGATCTCAAGAGGCTCAACTAGAGACAGGCAGGAGCCTGAGGGCGAGTTCTCATTTAATTCATTTCTCAAGTCCTACCAGACTCATTAGCATGCCAGGGTGCTATCTAGCAATGGCCACTCAATCTAGTTGCCACTATGAACCTGGAATTTCTATTAAAAGATGTTTCCTACCCTCAGTGTCATAACGTGCATAACGTATTCAACTTTTCACAGCATGGAATCTGCAAATGTTGTAATGTGTCATACACACAGTTTTGGTTATCTCCATTTTTGGGATGGGGGCAACCAAGTAATAGAGGTAAGATTCTGTTCTAGTACTATTGAGTCCCCAGGATATGTTGAGAAAATATCCTATCAGGGATTGGGAGACTATTGTACTTCAGCAGAATACATCATTAATGCAAATATATACACAGCTGACTTTGCACAGTCCCCGCCCCAAAATGAACCGAGGGCTATATTGCCATGCATGACCGGGTGGGGGTGGGGGGGACGGACCATAACGAACACTAACCCTCTTCCAAAAACCATACAGTAATCAAACCCTAAACTCTTACAGAAAACTGGAAAACAAAGTTTGAGTCCAGTGGCAAGATTAGTTTATATGGTCACCATTTATTTCCTTCACTATGTTTCCCCCTGGAATTAAACCCAAACAAATGCTTGTTATTCCAGTTTGGTCCTTGCATCTGTTAAAAACCTTTATTACGCAGTACGATATGGACTGGCAACTTCCATTTCAATGTATCTGAAGAAGTGCGTGCACACACATGAAAGCTTCTACCCCGAATAAAACTATATTGGTCTCAGAGGTTCCACTGGACTCAAACTTTTTTCTGCTGCTTTAGACCAACACGGCTGAATCTATCGTCAAAGGAAAGTGGAAGACTGCACAAGACTAATTTGCTACAGAGATTTATATGATATGCTATTATTGAATCTGGTACTTTAGGAAGTTTAGCAGACTACGATAACAGTAATATATACAACGTGGTTAATTCTGAACATGTCCCTATAGTGTAGATCAAAAAGCCCACAGATTGGGGAGATACCGGTATTTCTGCAAACCTAAGTCTGCAGAAAAAAGTAAAAGAAGGGGGGGTAGCCTTCCCCCAAGCAGAAGAGCAATATATACACATAATAATTTAAATAAAAATAAGAACTAAGAATTCATGAGATTATAGTTGGCATAATGGGGCTGCCTAGCATCTCCACACAACCAGAGATCTAAAAATAAATCAAGAGCAGCTGAGGAAAGGGGGAGAAAACCAAGGCAGGAAGGTGGGGGGGGGAGTGAGGTGGGTAGTGGCAGGAAGGAGCGAGGGGCGGGTGGGGAGGGGGGAATAGAACGGGGAGCCAGCAAGGGAAGATGAAACAGGAGCCAGGGAGGGATGGGAT